TGCCAGGAGCCCTTGGGCTGGCTGGGTGAGAAAGAGGAAGGCCCAGATCCTCCTCAGCACGATATCAGAGGAGTGTTTGCCAAAAGGGTTGTGGGATCACTGCCCCAACCTCAGCCAGGCACCAAGAGCCCAGCAGCTCTCCGTGACACCCAACCCTTCTTAATTCTCTCCCTGCAATGATCTTTATAACCACAGTGGGTTATCAGGGGGGTTTACAACAAGTCCCTGCTTACCTCACTACCACCCTGCAGCACAGAGTGGAGCAGAGGTACTCAGATCCCTCCCAAAACACTTCCCAGGTCACCAGCCAGCCAGACTGACCCTGGCTTTTCATTCTACTGACATGAGGCAAGGAGGTGGCCACAGCAGCTACCAGCTAATTACAGTCCCTTCCTGCCTTCAGTCCAGGCAAGACACTGCCCTGAACGAATCAATTATTATTTGTAGCTCACCCCACCTCCACCTCCTCCTCCTCCTCCCCACCACCAACGCTGCTCTTCCCACCTTTCAGCCCTTTCAGCCACTGTTAATTAACCCGAGGCTGGGCCGATTGCCAGGAGCAGATCCTCAGCCTTGCCGAGCTCCTGCTCCTGCTCCCCCCAGCCCTCTCCCATCCCTGCCTGCCCAGCAAGGCCTCACCCACCGAAATTCAGGCTCTGGGTGGTACCCATAGCCCGGGGAGGATGGGGAGGGATGCACCCGGCGCTGCCCCTGCATCCCCTACCTGGCTCAGGGCAAGGGGCTGTGAGGAGGAAGGCAGCCTTCCTCCTCCATGCCCTGGAAGCAGGGATGCAGCCCTTACCTGGACACTGCTGCTGGGGCTCTGGGCTGTGCCCTGAACTCGGAGCTGCCTCTCACCTCTGCTCTACATCCACTGCTGCAGAGCAGAGCTCAGCATGACCCTGCTGGGAGCCTCTCTCCTGCTCAGACAGTGCTAAAGGATGGGATATTTATGAGAAAGCAGCTCCTTAAGAGAAGATTTAGAGCCAAAAGGAAATAAAAAAAAAAAAAAAGTCTCTGGCTATGCCAAGAGATGCAAGCTCTCTTTCCCAGGATGTTTATTGCCATTCTCATCTTGACCCTCACCCAGCGCGCTGGGATTTGTGAGTCAGGGAGAAGCGTGGCTGATGCCCACAGGATTCAACATGGCACAGGGATTCAGAGCCAGCTCTGTGGGGCTGTTTGGGTTTTTGTCAGTGGAGGAAATGGGAGAAGACAGGGAACAGCAGCTGCCAGGACAGGAAGGCGCTCGGGATGCTCTGCTTTTACAGGGACAGGCTAACACTCCTCCAGAAAGCTCTGAGAAGGAGCAGCTGAGGGAGCTGAGGGGGGTCTGAGCCTGGAGAAAAGGAGACCCAGGGGTGACATTATTGCTCCTGGAAGGAGGCTGCAGCAAGGTGAGGGTTGGTCTCTTCTGTCAGGCAACAAGTGACAGGACAAGAGGAAACAGCTTCACGTCCACCAGGGGATGTTCAGGTGGATACCAGGAAAGATGCCTTCTCCAAAAGCGTTGCCAAGCCCTGGAAAAGGCAGCCCAAGGGAAGCAGTGGAGTCACCAGCCCTAGAAGGATTTGCAAGATGTGCAGATGTGGCACTTGGGGACACGGCTGAGCGGTGGCCTCAGCAGTGCTGGGCTAATGTGTTTAAAAGCCTTTTCCAACCTCAACGATCCCACAGTTCTGTGATTCTCACGCCAGCGCTGCCATTCCCATCCCCTCCTTGCTCTTCCCCACCTCTCCCAGCCTCGCCACCGCCGCAGCAGGGCCGGGCACCAGCGGGGACCCGGGGCTGTCCCCGTCCCCTGCCGGGATGCCGAGTGTCGCATCCCGCTCCGGCGTTGCCATCTAGCGGCAGCTGTGCCCTCCCGGGCCGCCCGGGCCTGGGGCAGCAGCCCCGGGCTCGGCCGGGCCCTTCCCGAGGGATGCTCGGGTCCGCTGCGAGCCCCGCGCAGCTCCCGCATCCCTTCGGAGCACCGCCAGAGCTCCCGTCTGCGCATCGCCGCGTGCAGGCACCGGGAATAAAAAATAAAA